GGAAAGAATTATACAAAAGCTTCTGAGGTTCCTGTTGCCTTGCACCCCATCAGACACACACCCTGCAGGTGGAGGGGATGAGGTTAAATTGTTTTATCATCATACGCCTGAGTGAAGAGGTGCATTTTCCCACTGGGTTTCAAATATTGGTAAATCAGGAATTGGGATCGGCAGAGCAATCCCTGTTCACCCTCTTACTTAGTGTCTCTGCTGCTCTTCCGCACCGTCTCGGGTATTTGTTCTATAAGTCATCGAAATGGTCTCTCCCGACAGCTAAAAATAAGCTTCTGATTACTTTTACCTGAATCAATCTTGTGACCAGATGTGGTATTCACCTACTAAGTGTGCAACAATTACCATTGAGAGGGATGCGAGAACAGGCCAAGGGGAGTCTATAATCTAGTGGAATGCAGAATATAATAAATCACATGGGAACTGGCAATTGCCACCTGGTAGAAGAATACTGGGTGTTGATAACAGATTTCACCTTAGAGACACTGTGTATTTGCAAAATTGGGTTTTCTAAGTCCTTACAACAAAGTTCTCAAAGTCAAAAGCAGAGCAAAAACATGCTTATGATGAACTGAGAGTTTAAAATAGTAATGATTTCTTAAATTTGGAAGGAGCTTTGTAATTTATAAAGCACATATGTGCTTTGATCACATTTACATAGCATTTAATGTGGTATTTATATACAGGCTTTAACTAGATGCTCATGACAGCCTTGTCCTGTAGCTCTTATCACCATCATGTTACTGATAAGGAATCTGGCACAGGGAGGTTAATTGACTGCTAGGATCCTATATTTGGGGAGGAAATAGAATGAGCAAGACCTATACTTAGGGCTGCGGCTGCAGGGCCCCAGCACTGTGCCAGGGCGCTAACCATGGCTGCCCTGGAGCCAGGACCCAATGGGCAGTGATGTTGGTTGCGTTCCTCATGAGCTAATGAAATAGCTTTTTAAGAGCTCACTTCAGTCATTAGAGTTTGATGGTGGAGAGTTAAATGTTCCCCAGTGGCTCTTTCTGTGTAATCATGGTTTCAACGTTTTCTTAGCATATCACATTACACAAATCATGGAGTGCTCTTGTTTTACATTTCTTATTGCGTTTGTCTCACTTCTAAGCAATTTCCTCCCCATGCGCATTTATCTTCCATTATTTCTGTCAAACTGCTTTCAAGGCCACTAATTGTATGAATAATATTCTCTTCCTCAAACCCTGCTATTAACCAGCGTTAGCTGGGTGGCATTGGACACAATTTCCCATCTCTAAAAACCGGGAGGTTTCACCCAATAGCCTATAAGGCCTCTTCTTGCACTTTAGCTCTATACTTCTGACACTTTCACGGGAGCTGTGTGATTTGGGAAACACTATATAAAAGGGAACTTCAGTTTTCTTGACTCTGTGATGATGGATTCAATTAGCTCATGTTTCCCAAACTTTGCTTCTTGGAAAACTGTTTTGGGGAATATCACTATGGATCACACCCAAAAAGGCTTCTTTACGTAAGAGAACTCGGGAAAGCTAGATGAAATGAAGTCAAATATAATGTTGAACTGTGGACATTCAGTCTTTCATATGTTAATGAGCAATGGATGACGCCAAGAAAGAAGCAGACTATAAAGTATTTCCCAAACTTATTGGACCACAGAACCCTTTTGAGTCAGCATTTTATATAAATTACATTCCATGTGATACACTTTTAGAAAGGCAGGGTTACATTATTCTTAGGATCCCTTTATTACCCTGAAATTCTATTTTTAGATTTGTGTCTAGCCTGTGAGCATTCCATACAGCATTAATCAGGAGGGCACAGAGCTGGTTTACCTGTTGCTATTGTTGCCATAACTGTTGTAACATGGCCCATACCCTGGTTAGATGAAGTTGAAATAAGGTAGAGATTAGCAGCCTTCCCACTGAAACTAACTTGTGGGAAACTAATATGTAGCTGATATTATAACTGGGGTTTGAAAATAGTTCTCAGTAAAGAGCACTTTTCGGAAATCTGTAAGTAAGGGTTGGATTAGAAGACCTATGGGATACTCTTGCTAAGGTGGTAAAAAGGGAACATGGGAAATAACAGGAAGTCAACTCTTTGGAAATAATCTTTGGGATTAGGTAACATGGGCTACTTTCCAAGTTACAATCATCCTCTTCCAATTCAAAGGTTTCTTTGCATTCATTTAATTCAACCCTTTACCCTGACCCATTGCAATGACTTTAACCATATTAGAGTCACTGCTTGATTACCTTCAGGAGCAGGAACCCACTACTTCCTAAGGCAGATTATGCAATTTTAGGCGGCTCTGCTTTGTAAGTGGTCCTTTCCCATATTAAACTAAAATCTAAGTGTTAAATGTTCTTATTCCAAGTGACCTTGTAAATTATCTAGTGTGTGGTTTTCAAGGCAATGTCCATAGCGGTACTTAAGATGTTTTTTAAATGCTTTGAGTTGAATTCCATTCATTGATTCATAAATAAATACATAAATTTCATGTAGAAAATCGATTATAGTCTCCATTATATTAGATTCAAAGAGATTCGCTAGCTCCCCTAAATTCAGTATAGAAGCAGAGTGTACCCTGGTCTCTCTGATTCAAAACCCTAAATCCTTTTCTTAATAATATATTGCTTCTTTAGTGTGTCCACATACATAAAAGTGAGGAGGAGAGTGTATTAATAGAATCTAAAAGCTGTAGAAAAAAATAGTTTCATTCCAGCCAGTCTTGTGATTACTCTGGCTCTTAGTTTCCCCTTCTTCAAAATAAGGATTACTACATTTTCTCCAAGCTCTGTTTCAGTTCTGGAAATTTCTATGATTATAAGGAAACATGTTCATTAATGAATGGTATTTACTTTGGGGGATTGAAGTCATAGTAGAAGAAAAAAACTGCATCCCTTAGAAAGGATTGAATGAAAGCATGCATCATAAAGACATACAGTTTAGAATCACGTTTGATTTTTACTTTCTTTAATTTTTTTTCTATACTAGTTACATTCAGACCAGGATAAAGGAGATGGATCACTTAAATATATCCTTTCAGGAGATGGAGCAGGAGATCTCTTCATTATCAATGAAAACACAGGGGATATACAAGCCACCAGAAGGTTAGACAGGGAAGAAAAACCTACTTACATCCTTCGAGCTCAAGCTGTAAACAAAAAGACAGGGATTCCTGTAGAGCCCGAGTCTGAATTCGTCATCAAGATCCATGATATCAACGACAACGAACCAATCTTCACCAAGGAGGTCTACACAGCCACCGTTCCAGAAATGTCTGACGTGGGTGAGTGGGACATGATCTCAACCAGGCAATGCTTCTCCTCCAGTTCATCAACTAAACAAAGAATCCTATGAGTGAAACTTACTGATTGAATAAATATAGATGCTAAGTACCAATTTTAAACAATCTACTTATGTCCCTTTGTAAGTACTCCCGTGTTTCCTAATGCTATTCTAGTCTCACTTTATTATCCTTTTAAAGAAAACTGCATTTCCTCTAAAGATGAGGGTAGAGTGAGAGTAGGAAAAAGAAAGAGAGCCATCTCATCTACTTCTCGCACCCTAAACTCCTGCTCTATTCCCTGGGCTGGAAAACAGCAGCCTTCTCTGTTTCTCTTAGCACTTACTGGCATTAAGGCTCCAAGTAAGAATCTCCCCAGTGAAAAACAAAAGCCTGTATTTACAGTCCAGACTGAAGAGTAATGACTATTGCTTTAAGTGACTGTATATTTAGAGAAGAGACTCAAAGAAAACTTATTTTCAATCCATAAAAAATATGCAGGGGATGTCTAAGGGAGATATCTTTTACTAATTGATGGAAATTAGTAAATTACATTAATATGGTAAACTAATATTTTGTGCACAATTCTACCAATTTCAAAGTTAATATTTGTGCATTTAATTTGCTTAGACTGGGAGAAGGTAAACAGAATTTCAACTAAGAAAAAAATCCTACTGACATCATTCTTAGCCACATTAATATACTTCATGGGAGACAATAACAAATATTAAACTACTCATGTAAGGTTATTTTAATTTTCACTCAGTCTCAAATTCAAAAGAGCAGAATTACATAATAAAAATGTTTCTACAATTCTGAGTCATATATCACAGCTGTTTCAGTCCAAAGTTCCGAGACTTTGAAAATATTTAATCCATGGAAATGCTTGTAAAACATCTAAATTTTTCTCACGAAGAAGTTGCTCATCCCATTACTTAAAGCCACTTTGTTTTGTTCTAAAATAAATCGCAGATTATCACCAAAGAGGAGAATTAGAATTCTTTTTAAAAGGAAGATTTGTTAGGAAGAATATTTTTCCATTTGGTGGTAAAAGACAGAAAGAATTAATAAAGGATAGTCTTATCGTCAATACCACCCAGGACAACCGTAACCAGATGTGCAAGTTGTCACTGAACAGCTCTCAGGGTACCATTGACTTTTTTGTACAGAGAGATGATTTTTAATGACTTTATTGGGGTGACATTGGATAATAAGATTATATAGGTTTCAGGAGTATAATTCTGTAATACATCATCTGTATATTGTATTGTGTGTTCACCACCCAAGTCAAATCTCCTTCCATCACCATTTATCCCCCTTTTACCCTCCTCTGCCTCCCCCTACCCTGTTTTCCCTCTAGTAATCACCATACTGTTATCTGTCTATAAGGTTTGTGGGATAATCCTTTCACCTTTTCCATTTAGACCCCTTCCCCTCTCCCTTCTGACAGCTGTCAGTCTGTTCTCTGTATCTGTGAGTCTGTTTCTGTTCCATTTGAAGCCATTATAGAGTTAAATATGTAGTACAAATATTTGGGAATGGCTAACAGAAACATATTTTGAAAAAGGGAGGTCTTTTTCTAACTGGCATGGGTATCTTGATATTCACCATTATCATAAATTAACATGTCATTATTCTGATATATAAAAGCATTTTAAAGAAATTACATAAAGAAACAACAGCAGAATAGTAAAAATGAACTCTGCTATCAAGCAGACCTAAGTTTGAAGTTACCTCTACTAACAAACAGCAGTATGGTTTAGGTAAATGACTTGATTTCTCTCACCCTCCAGTTCCATATTCTCTAACAAATAAATAATAGATGTCAACTTCTAAGGTGAAGACAAAAAGAGAAAACAAGTGCACAGCCCCCAGTACATCTGGCTACTCACAAGTGCTCAAAACGTCCAGACAGTCGTATTCTAAAAGCTATTAAATTTGTATTGATGTCAAATAAGAACGTGTTTGTTGACTTCTGCTATTAGCTCTCACTCTAAAGTCATGATGTTCTCATTCTCCCCAAGTCCCTCATTGAATTAAAAGGGTGTGTGTTCTATCTCAGGCACCAACATGCTGCATCCAGAGCAGCCAACCTTAGCAGTGCAGCATATTTGTTCAATCCATGTAGTTAGATAGTACCCACACAATGGAAAAATGCTAGTATTCCCTAAATGTAGCTTCCCTGCCCTGTTCATAGACAGGAGAACCTTGGAGGTGTGCTTACTATTTATCTACCAGGAATTCTAAAAGTCGGCCACAAAAATGATCTTAATCAGAGGACCTTACCCTTTTTTTGACGTCACAGACCCCTTTGCGATCAGATAAAAATCTATGGAACTTCAGTGAAACATACATGCAAGCATATACATAAACATTTGCATGGAATTTTATGGACGTTAAGGATACTTCAAAGGTTATTAGGCAACTCTGGTTCCTTAAAATAAGAGTGCGGATCTAAAACACCACCGTTTTCTTTGTACATTTAATTATGATCATTTTTGGGTATTACAGGTACCAGATGTGTATCCTCTATTGCTTCAATTAATTCTTTATATAATCCCTCACTTAAGGTTCAAGGCCTTTCAATCTCTTAGAATTATCAGGTAGATTTGTTACTTAGGATGCTTTTATTTGCAAGTAACAGAAAACTCAATTCAAACTACTTTAAACAACGTAAGTACTTACTGGTCACATTACTTAAGGCCAGAAATGAAGTAGGCTTTAGACGTGGTTTGACTGGAGTTCTATTTTCCCTAAATTCTCTGTTCTGTTCAGCTTTGTTCTCAGGCTGCCATCTCTAATGTCACTAAATAGCGACTGCATTTTCAGGCTCCTCTTCAGCACATTCTAGTCCAGTAGAAATGACAGAATTTCCAGAAAAATCATGAGTGGTCCCCTGATTGGACAACTCCTAAACAAATCCCTAAGGACAAAGTAATGCCAGATTCGGATTGACTAGGACCTGGATAACTTAAAAGAAGTGCCATAGCAAGAATCCAACCCAATCCCACCTTTGGAGATGGATTGTGATTAGTTCCATCCAAAGTCATGATCATTCCCATGCTTCCCTTTAACCTAATCCTTACAGTATTTATAAATGGTGATCACTTTCCTTCAGAGTGAGGGATCCAAGCCTTTTTAACCCAGCATATTATTGAAGTTCCCCACTGCCTTGCCATGATAGTTTTGGACAAAAGTAAGATCATGCTTTCTCTTATGTGTGCCTATATGGGATCTGAAATGGGCCCTTACTATGTTTTCAATTCATGTTCTGTCATTACAGGTACAGTTGTTGTCCAAGTCACTGCCACTGATGCTGATGACCCAACGTATGGGAACAGTGCTAAAGTTGTCTACAGCATCCTGCAGGGGCAGCCCTATTTCTCAGTTGAATCGGAAACAGGTTAGAATTCTATTTTTATCTCCTTTTTACAATCTGTAATTTTAATTGACATGCTTGGCTAAGCTAGCATATTTTGTAATAAAAACAATCCATGTGGTTGAATTTTTTTAGATTTGCCTGCCAATGATATATTTATAAACATAACACCCAGATCCTTTTAATCAAGAAATATGACAATGGGTCTTTCATCCACTATTTTTATATATGGCATATTCAGAAACAATTACACATTTATTTTTTTCTTCCAGTTTGGGATGAAGCTAAAAGATCAAGCCCTTCTGATAGCTATTTGGCTGTTTACAAATATTCCAATTCTTCTTTTTCTAGGTATTTGGTAGGTTTGCATTTCTCTACCATGCTCTGAAGCTAGATGTAGCCATACGATTTATTTGGGCCAATAAAATGTGGCGGTGATGTGAGTTACTTCCAAGTGGAGCTTTTGACCTGGTGTACACTCCAGCATGTGCCCTTCCGCTTGCCAGAGTGACCCCAGATGGGAGCAATGCTGAGACGCTTCTCCAGCCCAGAAATCTGAGTATTCTGATGAGTATAGTTACCTGCTGGCCTGCTCAGAGCATGAGAAAACAAACTTCGATGGCATGAAGCCACTGAGATTTTGTTTTGTGTATTGTTACCTCATTGTCTACCCCATCCAGACTGAGATAGCCCTAATAAAGTGGATTGCCGTAACGGAATTCTTTTTTTCAACACCTCCTTTTTCTGTACTTTCTCCACAAAATAACGTTCTATCTTATAATGAATCATTTTAGTGAACATCATTTGTACTGTCTTTAAATTCTACACTTATTTTTGTTGTCATAATAGGAGTGGAGTTTCTTAGAAACATTTTTCAAGCTTCCATTATTCTTAGTAGAAATCAAAACCCTCCTAGGTTATTGCATCCAGTTGGAAATCGATGGGTTAAGAGGGGCAATAAACTTGGAAAGAAGCCCAAGGAGAAAGAAAATGTTGAGTTTAAAAACAATGAAGATGAAAAAAATAGAATTATTCAACTTAAAGAACACAAGGCTAAGGTATTTAGATAGAAATACTGTTGTTTGGAGAACAGAAGTAACAGCTCCACTTTCAATGAAGCCAGGACTGTAGGATGAAGCTGACCTGTTTTCTGAAATATTGTTAAAAACAAGAAAGATTTTTTTTTTCAGTTTCATGGCTGTTCCGCACTGGAATGTGCTATCAGAGAGAGTTAAAAGCCTTCTCCAGTGATTTTTGAAAGAATGTTGTTAATTTAAGCATGAACCCTACCTAAGAAATTAGGCAAACTTTCACAAGTTCTTCCAACTCATTATTTTATAACTACTTAACAATGAGGTAAACTTCACCTAACTTGAGAATCTTGTCACTGCTGGGGCCAGCTGAACTAATGTTCACATCAGCTTTAGGAAATCTTAAAATCTTTTGGATCACACAATATGATGATTATGAAAGAACTGATGCTGGGAGGGGGGGGGGGCGGCGAGTTAAACCATAGTTTCATGGTTTAGAAAATCCTGAGAACATTCATTATGGAGGGTAATTAGCCAATTCAGTAAAGTGAAACTCGGGAGACAGTTCATGTATATGGCTTTCTTTTAACAATCGCCTCCTAATGCACCGAGATATATCAAGCAACTTCGGTGGTAATACTACTGGGCCACACGCCAAGTTACACTTCGCTGTGTCATCTTATAACACTTAATATTTATACTACTTACATTCTCCACGGTTGCAGGATTTGACTTATTCTTCTTGTATTGTAGGTGGTTCTTTTAAATGCATCTCTCTCCCCTATGTGGTTTTCACTTCCTTCAGTATAAAGGCTACCTATAATCATTTTTATGTCACCGATGACATCTGCATAGTGCTATGCATATTGTGGGTGAAAAATCTGTGTGTTTGCATAAATAAATTACTCCATAAAGTATTTTTAATATATTCCTTTCCACTTCTGAATTTCATATCCATAGGTATCATCAAGACAGCTTTGTTCAACATGGATCGAGAAAACAAGGAGCAGTACCAAGTGGTGATTCAAGCCAAGGACATGGCCGGCCAGATGGGGGGATTATCTGGGACCACCACAGTGAACATCACACTGACCGATGTCAACGACAATCCTCCCCGGTTTCCCCAGAGTAGGAGCATTTAAATGATGACTTTCTTCAGGGCACTTTTGTAAAACTCTAAATTGAAGAATGATATTTATTTTCGATTGTTGCTATTAATTGTCAGAATTAATGAACTTAGTAAGAACTGACACTTTTATTAAGAATGAGTTGACAATGCTTACACTCAGTAGATGTGAACATTTATGTTCCTGAATTGGAAATTAGCCGAGCGATTTCTGATATGGCTGTCATTGCAAACACAACATCATTGTTTCCTTTTTCCTTATTAAAAAGACAACCACAGACATAAATTTGCTTGCTCAGAACATATGCATTCAAGCATGCTGCTATTTGTTAGGAAAAATTTGACTTTATATTTTGTGAATTTAATCAGCCATGTAATCTCTTTTAAATCCTCACGAAGCCTCATAAGAGGAGGATTTATCATTTTACTGTTTCTAAAAATACATCTGTGGAAATAACTGTGCACTTAATCCATTTATACTCATAAATAGTTTTCTACATTATGGTTAATTGAGATCCCGAAAACCATCTCCAAAACTATTAACTCTCATGATTATGTAGGAAGGAAAAAGAAGGAAAACCAGCCTTCACAAATGCCCACCTTGTATCCAGCAGAGCACTAGCACCTCAGTGGGTACTGGTTATAATGTAATTTTTCTACCAGGGACAAAATTTCTTTCTGACTACGGTCTCCTCAGAAAATTACCTGACTCTTGTCTTCCAGGAGAAATCAGCTGCCCATTATTAAACAGAAAACCCACGTACTCAATCGTGGCATTTAAAAAAACCAGTCCGCTAATAGGGGCTTCTTATATAATGG